TCCAGTTCGCTGTAGTTTGGCTTTTTGGAGGCGTTGAAATGCTTCTTGACCAGGAAAGAGCGCGGCATCTTGCCGGCGGGTCTGACGGGCGCCCGGCACGGATAACGGTCCGGCGGGAAGACGCGGCCGGTCCCTAAAGCATCGCGGCCGGCGGAGATCCGGCTGGGGCCGCGCTCAGGTGTTGCTGGCGGACAGCCGGCGCCTCTGAAGTCGCCCGGCTCCTTTACGAAGTGAGCCTGTTTGGGCTGGGTGGGTTTTTACAGGGTGAAGAGGGAGGCCTTTCTCTCTCTGTCTCTCTCTCTCTCTCTCTCTTTTGCAAGCAGGAGCCAATCACAGCTGAGAGGTTCGGATTTCAGCTCCTCCCTCTGGGACAGCTGTGAGCAGAGGAAGAATCTGTTGTCAGACTAAATTATTCTGGTTCAAAATGGACTGTTCTTCGGGATTTCACTGGAGAGGGGAAAAATTGCTTAAGCATTTTCAAGGAGGTAATTTCACTTCTTTAGCTCTGCCAGTTATTCCTGATCTCTGCGTGCTAGATAAGTCCTAAGAACTGTGATTTCTAAAAGAGGCCTGGCTTCCAGATGTCGGGTAAAGCAAATGCAATGCGACAAAATGTTCGCTAGAGGCAGGAAAGGGAGTCGTACAAGATCCCAGGTCAGCCTCGGGTGTTAATGAGAGCCTATATTTGGAAGTGGCATTTGGAGAGGTTTTACTTGTACAGAGACCAAACAACTCTTGGCTTTTGAAAAAGTAAGGTAGAAGCGCGAGAAGACAAAAGCCCCTGTGCGTGAGGAGGGCGCGCCCATAGTGGGGGCTTCCCTGGGTCTGCAAAGCCGCCCAAGGCCGCCTGCCGTGCATGTCCTGAATGCTGGGAATGCATTTCAAGTCTTAAAGGATAAGCAAAGCCAGAGGCCGTGCTTCCTCATGGAAATTAAGTAATCATGTCACCATATTAGCTATGCTAGTTGCAAGGAAATGCTTTGTAGCTCATGGAAGACCTGCTTGTGGAGGAACTGGGAAACTGCTGTGGGGGCAGGGGTTGGGGGTGGGGGGTAATAGGTAAACTGTCATTAGAACCATGAAAAATTGTCAAACATTTGACTAGAATTTTTATCTTTTCATGTATCATTGTATATATTTATGAAAACAAAACAAAACATGAATAGATCTTTAGAGACAATTTTTTTTTTCCAATATTGATCTACTTTTATATGGTGCTGTTTTCTTCAGTATAAAGTCATCAACATTCATCTCAGTCGCTGCTACTGCCCTGGATTGTGATTTAAAGAGAGTGTCATTATGAGTACTGCTTAGTTAAAGTTTTAAGAAGCCAGTCCATAAAAATACTTTGATTTTGTATATAATATTAAATCCAAAAATACTCAAAGATGACTCATTTTAAAAGTAAATTAAAAGTTATATTTCAACTGCATCTCAGTCCATTCTAGACTTTTCTCTTCATCTTTTACTTAAAAATTAAGGAAAGAACAATTTGAAATAAGACCACTCTGCCCTTGTTTCTAACAGGTGCTGGAAGAAGAGAGTGAAAAAGAAAGTAACAGTGGTTAAGTCAAGACTTGTAAGAGGAAAGAGCATCGTCAGACGGATGGCCTAACTTCTTCATCTTGGGATGAGAAAAAAAGCTTGTGTGTTGGGGTTAGGGAGTGGGGTGCTTACAGGTTTCCTGAGCTAATTTCAATGATTCTTTTGTTGCTCTTACTACAGTCACTAATTTAAATATTAGAGAAGGGAATTTAGATGAATCTTAACGTTAAAAAGAACAGTATCTCTAGAAGACTGGAAAATATAAACATGCATTAGATTCCTCCACTAATGTGTAAACTGGAGTGTAATTTGGAGCAAGTTTTCTGAGCCTTGTACTTTTCATGAGAGTATGTTCAGATCTAGGCACCTGGTTTATTGAAATAGGAGTCCTCCTTGCCCTTACCACCCAACTTTCTGCAAAAGGCACATTTTGTTAGAGACATAATATAGTTGAGAAATATAATATAGTTCGGAAAACATAAATTGCCATGTGCTTTTATTTCCTCCTTTCGCTTTATACAGTCCATTCACAATTGTGAGGTGTTATTTTGTTATTTACTTGATAGTTATTACACAAGATAACCTGCTAAAGTGTGTATTTTTAAAATACATTTAAAATGTGTAACTCTAAGTCACTATGTCTGAAAAAACAAACTTGGATTTGGGTTACAGATGCATAACTGAGCCGAGTCTCGCACTGCACGTCCAGGGGGGCTCATCACACATGACACAAATCAGGACGTGTTAGTACACCTACTAGGACGAGCAGATAGTATTCAGGATCGTGTATGAGGCATGTCATTACACAGGTCTGTGTGGCAACTAGTCACACGTAGACCTGTGTGAGGTCTGGTCTGCTGTCAGGAGAGGGAGAGCCTGCACGCTGATAGCGTGAGTCAGACTGCACAGGTGCTCTGCTCAGACACAGCAGTGGGCACTGGCGCCAGAATGGCGTGGTAAAAATGGGAGAAGGAAAATATAAGTCCTCACCCAAAGGCCAACTGCTACGACTTTTCTAAGATAATATGGAATACCCCTGCCCTGCAAGCCAGAGGGATCGTCTGAAAAATTTGAATTTGGTCAATGACTAAAATATTCTATCTTGGCCAGGGACAGAAATCTTTGCTAAGATAATGCCAAAACACCAGGTTTAAAATGTTTCGTTTGGGCATAACAAACCCAACTGGGTTTTGCTAATGCAAGAAATTAGTCCTGGGTGGACATAGTTAGGCTCATTGTAACAATGAGGAAATGAGGCTTACCCTGAGATGGTACTCTGCCTGAAGCCCAGCCAGGGTGAAGCTGGTGGTTACAGATAATGTTCAAAGTAAGGAAGACACAGGCTCAGCCCTTAGCCTCCTGACAGCTGTATGTGGGGCAGAGAGAAATGAGGAAAGAAGGGCAAGGACAATTTTCCGCCTCAGAGATCTTGATTCCCAAAAGAGCTTGGTTATTATGGGAGATGAGAGGGCTTAAAAAATAACCTTCCCTATGGTTGAACCCCACCAGAAGGTCCCTTCCTCTACTTAGCTTCTGTGGGTTATGTGAGAAGTTAGATGTCCATGCAATATAATTCCTTAACTGTCATGAATATTACTAGGATATTATTTGACATGATTCATCTGACAGACTCCTATTTCCTCTGTTTTCTGAAGAAGCTGACAAAGATAATTTGTGGAAAACTTTGTAAATTAAAGGCCTGAGACCTCGCAGGAGGGCTAGGCCTTTCCCACAAGCTCTCCTGTACTGGTGGGATTTCTCCCAGACCCAGTCTTTTTCATGAAAGACATAGTCTTGCCTTGCCAAATAGGGAACTAAATTACGTTCATGAGGTTTGAGAATGCACCTCAGTCTTATTTACTTTGCACAGAGATTAGTGTACATTTAGGTGTTTAGGTATGTTAAAAACCATGCAGATACTGACTACTAAGTTTAGGAAATGAAGGAAATCTAGCACCAGAAGAAACCATGATTTGGCAGAGACAGAAAATTCCATCTTGTGCTGTGCACTGTCTCCTAAAATGAATAGCATCTGTTTCTAGCTTTAGTTTGTGGCATGATCACCCTGGAGTGGGCAGGGGATAAATTAACTCTCTTGAATGATATGTAGTTATGGAATATCGTTAGAGTGTGATAGTTGGACAAGATTACAATGCGTTACTAATATTTAAACTATTTAGATAGTAACGATGTGTTTTATTATATGTAACTTTGAAGTTGGAATGACAAAGATGTGATATCATTTTATAGGTTTGTATGTATTTATATTTATATACAGATGTATATATTTATATTTATATTCCTAATTCATAACTTGATTCAGCTTTGGATAAGGTAAACCAAGCCCTAAAAGTGAAATAAACATTTTTTTTTAGTACTTGCGTTTCTTTTTCTGTAAATTATACTTAATACTCTTCCCTAATTTCTTTTAGGATGCTTTAGTGGCAAATATTTTCCAATATAAAAAGAAAAATAATCAGAGTGAGTATAGGATCTTGTTTATATATTGAGCTTCATAACAAGGAGAACCCTATTTCTCTGGGGATGTAGATGGAACCACATATATACTCAACATACTGAGTAATGTTAACAGAGCTAAATGGGAATATGCGTGTAAGTGTGTGTGTGTGTGTGTGTGTGTGTGTGTGAATCGTAGTAAAAAATAATAGCAAAAAAAGTGATGTCAGGATGTCCCTCTGCTGTTTAGGAATTTCTGTTATTTCTGGTGTGTTCTCAGGGCCATATTTGCCAGGCTAATAGTGATTAACATTGTCTGGGGTTAGCTCTAATGCTATTAGCTCAACAAATATCATCATATAGGATCAGTAAATATTTAAGATCATTTCAAACAGAAAACTTTATTTACCATGGGAACAACATTTTAATGATTTTTATTTTGTGACAAATCACTTGTATGAGAAATCACTTATATTGAGAATTGTATTTCTAGTTATGATTTTATAATCTTATTTTCCTTTGGTTGGCTATAATATGGTAATATATGATGCAAAAGTAAAAGATATTAGTCTCTTCAATGATCTATTTGTACCTTGTGAAAAGTGTTGGTGATCTTAATTGTAAGATGAGCAAGAAAGACTAGAAAATTCTAAAATTATCTCTCAAGTATACCATAACTATATGTGGTTGCAAAGAGACACCTATTGGTCAATTTTGGAAGACTCACTGCTTTCTTTTTCTTTTCTTTTTCCATAACTTTTTAACAAGGTGCCACCTAGTGGAAAATGGATGATTTGACCGAGAGCATCAACTTGACTTCATTTTGTCATTGCCCCAATTTCAGGAGAACATTAAATAGTCTTTTGAATTTTTAATTTAATCTAAATTAAAAATTATTTATTTGTGCTTGTAGAAACACAGGTGGCATTTATATAACAAATTACATTAGCTTTATAAGATAGGCGAGTAAGGGAAATTTATGATGTTCATCAATCTGTGCAGTCATGAAGAAAGAAGCAAAAATTGTTTAAAACTTAATAAGTACCTCGAATGACTTATTCTCTATAACCCATAATAACCTACAAGGTAGAGATGTTTTAAAGGCAAGAAACCAAGCTTGAGCCCAGTTTTCCAGGGGTATTCAGAATGAAAGTGAGGAAGCTGGGATTTCTCCTCAGTCTGCGCCTCTGGCGCTTACGCACTTTGCTGCAGTAGGCTCTGTTACACACTTGTGGTTTGCTAAGGTTGGCTAAGGACACTTGACGTCAGGCAGTTGGTACTGTATGGGTAGTGATACAAGCTAGCATTCTCGAATGTTTAGTATGAGCTGGTCATTGCTGTAAACTTTTTACATATATTAATCTCCCCAAAGTTAGTTAAACCTTCAAGGTAGATATAATCCATATTTACATGTGATGAAATGAAGACACAAAGAAATTAAATATCTTAGTCAAATCACACTACTAAGGAATATGATAAGGAATAGGTGGAGGCGAGATCTGAACCTGGATCTGTTTAATTTAAAATCTTCTTTATTTCATCACTTTGTTATAACTATAATTTTCCATCATAAGAGTGAATTAGACTCATGACCAACTACAAAACATTTGCCTTCCTACTTTCTTCTCCCCTCCCAGAGAATATTTACATGTAGACTTTATAATCCATGGTATGTGGAGTTTCTGTTTACAACCCATCTTATTCAAAATGATTTCTGCAGCATATCTCCATTTTTTCCCTAAGTAATACCAGGATGATGGTTGCTTGATTTTAGACTTGACACCATTTACCTCCAGGTGCTGAGTCTGAATTCTGAGAAGACACTTGGACTAGATAGAATCCTTGAGTGCTTAACTAAGCGGCTGCTATGGTCTCTTGGTCTGCCAGTAAAGGAGACCACCAGTAATCACAGTTTCTTATTCTATCAGCATCATGTGGCTTTTCAAAAGTGGAAGTGATGTCTACGGCCCTGCTACCCTGAACAAGCCCTATCCTATCTGATCTTGGAAGGTAAACAGGGTCGGGCCTGGTTAGTACTTGGATGGGAGACCACCTAGGAACACCAGGTGCTGTAGGCATAAAAAATAAGAAATATAAAGGATTGTAAGCTGACAAGGTCCTTGCAATCTGTGAAGTCAACCAAGGGTTGCCTTGCCTAAAAAATTTTTAAAAAATAAAAAATAAATAAATTTAAAAAGTGGAAATGATGATCATTGTTATCTGTCTGTCATGGGATCATGTGGGAGGAAGAAAGCCATCAATAAAGAATAATGTTTCCAAATACAAAAAAGGAGGTCTGTGGTCTGGAAGTGTCTCTCTTTTTTTTCCCATATGTGTGTAGGGGAGGGCAGTATGTGCATAGGTGTGCATATCTGTGTGCATGTGTGTGCATGAGTATGTGTGCTGTGCATGTATGATGTGTGTGTCTTGCTCCTAGCATGAGCCTCCACTGGTTCATGTATGAGTAGGCATGTTTGGTAAACTTGTGGGGTAAGCTAGTCTGCATTTATTTACTTGAGGCACTTCCTACAGAAGAATAGGGAGCAAGCCCCATTAAGCTTGATTCTATAACAAACCCTAAGTATCCAGAGAGGAGTGTTGCTTCTGAGTATAGCACAATGCCTGTTGTTCCACCATGTCTTTTTACTGAGAGCTCCAAAATGCCATGGAGAAGCAGGGGTAGAACCTGGTAAATGAACTTGAAATATGAATTTACTAAAATACTGTTAAACTTTAGAAGGTTGACAATACCGCTTTGGAACATGTGAGGCAGAGGTGATTACAAAAAGTAGACAAAGTGGCTTGTGAGAGCACTTCCCTTGTCTTAACATGAAACACTATAAAATGTTGATACTAGAAGGGGTCCGGGGCATCGAGTTTAGTGGCAGCCATGCCAAAAGGTATTGACCAAGAGATATGTGGATACCCAGTGGGAGGGGAGCTGCTGCCCAGTGAAAAATGAGGACCTGCCTGATACTTTGGTTCTCAGCAAAGTAACAGGAGTGCTACAGGACAGTAGTTC